AGTGTGAGAATGCTGGGGAAAAATCCCCCCAGCAAAGTCTCTGTGGGATTCTTTGACTTTCGGATGAATTTTATTACCTGTGTCCTGTGCAAGTGGGACTGTTAGAAGATCCAGTGAAACTGGGAGTACTAATGAATGCAAAACATCATGCTCAGCCAAATAAACTACAGTTAATGCTAACACCCTGTTCCTTGTCTTTCCAGTGATGTTTCGTGTTGTTGCCCTGGATTTCAATTTTAAACCTGTTCAAGAGATGGTGAGTGACCAGTAATATTCCCCTGTATTTAAAATTGCTGGGAGACAACCTCCTCTCAAATTTTAAGTAGACAGTTGCTGTGGATAAAATGAGATATTGCATAGACTAAATGGCAAAGAATTAACATGATTTCCTAACCACATGCTATAATCCACCCTTATGTTAGAGTCACAGGGAAGAGTGTAAGTGTGTAGCAGGTTGGATTCCTGACACACCACCTCCTGCTATTGCTGGGAAAGAGGCTCAAAAAACCCTCCACTTTGTTGCTGCAGACATTATTTTAGCTCTGACCAGAGAATCCACTGTTCGCTCTCCCATTATTACTGTTCAGCAATTGTTGCTTGCAAAAATTGGCAAGTCATCCACTTAGTGCTTTTCTTATTTTAAAAACAGGGAAATGAAAATGAAAATTGTTACCACAATTGTTCATCTCATCAGAAGCACTCTTTTCATTACCAGCAAGCTGTCTTCATGCTCATAGTACATGAGCCAAGAGATAGAAGGGTCTTTACTGGCCTCCTCTCATGTGGTTGCAAGGCAGAAGACAGCACAGTGTTACCAAAAGAGCTGGTGCTAATAGGCAGGGTGAGGCTATAAGAAGCCCAAATCACGGTTTACGTGCACCTCTATAACTTACTCAGCTGCTCTGGGATTGAACTAAATCCAGCATGATCAGAAACTGCCCCAACATTCTCATTTCATTTCTTCCCTTTATGTAATCTTCTTGAAGTAAAACTGCTAACAAACTGATTAAAATAAGAGATGAGGATCTCTGATTGCTGGTATTATACTGATTATTGGTTAAACATTTCTCACAGTCCTGGGGAAAATTAATTTGTGTTTGTTCAGCCACCTAATGTCTTGTCCACTTTGTTTTTTCCTTTTTCAGTACCCCTTAATTGCGATTCAGGTAAGAGATTTTTTTCTCTTTGTACTGTTTTACGCATATAAAAACAAAATCTAGGGCACGTGTGCTTACATCAGTTTGTATGTGTCCACACACAGCCAAATCCTGCTCCTGAGTACACTGGCAGAAATTAATAGAAACTTCATAAAATGCCAGGATGCTGTTCAAGCTTTGCTAACATGGAAAGCATACCTATATTTATCTCAATAGTCAAAAGTTGTATTGTTCTTATGCCTGCCTTTGACTCCCTTCCACCTCCTCCAGTTTGCTCAACTTATTTTGGGGTATATCTTTTCATAACTCAAGTGCTGCTGAAAACTATGAACAAATATAGGCTGTGGATAAAATTACTAGCAATATTAGCACTTCCATGGCATTTTGTGGTGGTTTTTAAAATAGAAATTGCAGTTCATGTCTAGACAGCATTCTTGCAAGTTTTCATGTTATACCGTGAAGCCAGATGACTTTATTTTGTTTGCAGTGAAACATACACATTTGGAGATCTATATGTGTTTTTCTGTAGTCTGTGCTTTAAACAGTTCACGGAAATGGTGTGAATGAGTTTTCTTTAGTCTAACCAGCATAAAATATACTCAGAGGCAAATGACACCTCAGTGAATGCAGAAGAAATGCTTCCTTCCTTCTTCCAGCAGCTGAAAAAAGCTGGGGTTGCTAAAGACCAAGATTTGTGTGGAATAAGCTCAGCCGAAGGGGAAGCACAAAGAAGAAGGGATTTTCTTTCTCCCCACCTTGACACAAAACTAGAGCAACTTATACTAAAGAGCAGGGAAGAGCAGTACTGTGCAACTTCCCCTGATGATTGAGACTAACACCTAGGCTGACAGAGGATGCCTAAATCTGAGATCAACAGATGAGAATCTAGCAACATTAATAATCAGAGCACTAAGGCATAATTTATCTCAATGCACATGCATTAAGCAACTTCGCCAACGAGTTAAAGTATCTTGCCCTACTTTCTTCTTTGTTTCTGGTTTTGTGTGCTAATAGCAAAAGATTTCCAAGGCAAATAAACTGTGATTCCATATTATTTTTTTCTTCAGGATCCACGGGGCAACAGGATCTTTCAGTGGCAAAACGTGACATCAGAGATGAACATTATCCAGATTGAATTCTTGCTAACTGAAGAGCCTATCCTGGGGAATTACAAAATTATCGTAGCAAAGAAGTCAGGAGATAAAACAAATCACTCATTTCTTGTAGAGGAATATGGTAAATGCCACCTGTTGTTTTTATTCAGAGTAGAAAACATTATTAGAGATGAGCCCCTATCAATCAACCTTTTTGATGGCTAAAACTTCAAACAGCTTTCTGGCAAATGCAACTTCAATTAGCTGTCATTAAAAACTGGAGAGGAAAAAAAAAGAGCAGTACAAAGCCAAAGAAGAGAAATTAACCTTTTTGCACAGATTCAGCCAGGAAAATAATCTGCATAACAAATCAATAAGTTGATTGCAAATTTCACTGTGACAAACTAACCTTCTCCCAGGCAAGTCCATGAATTTTCTTGGCCAAAGCTCTGCAAGGCATCTAGATGTCACAGGATTCATCTCAGAAGTCCTGACTTCTCTTCAAAGCTTTGTAGAAATACATTAGTGAGCCTTCACAGGTTGGCCACTTCTTGACCATTTTGGCACCCCGGTTCTGAGATCCCATTCCACCTGTGACTAACACTGATGATATATCCGCATTTTCTCTTTCATCTCAGGAAGGCCTGCCATTTGATAATGTGCCAGTATTGGTTTTTTTCTTTTTATTCTTTGTCCTAGTGTTGCCAAAATTTCATGTCACAGTCACTGCACCAGAGAGCCTTACAGTCCTGGATTCAGAGTTCACAGTGAAAGTCTGTGGAGTGTAAGTACCAGGTGCAGAGCGGTTAGGAAATATGCTGAAGAGTAAGAACTTCCCAAGGACTGGGGAAAGAGATAGGGCTTAGAGAAGAGACCAATAAATAGTGCCTCAGGTTGGCCAATAGGTTGGTCAGGGTTGACTTGGTGGTTGGAACTTTCATTTACTTGTGTGCTCATTTTATCATATGAGTATTCTCTTCCAGCTGGTGTTTGGTGGGTTGAATAAATCTTTTGAGAGGTCCCCTGCTAAAGTAGCATGTGTCCACTCCCAATAACCCACTTCAGAGGGAGATCTTCATACGCAGAGCACCGTTAAATTCTAGCAGGGGTCTTAGGGTTCCAGCTGTCTTTAACTCCCCCTTCAAGCTTAGTCCTTCAGAAGGACCTTGCTTACTCTAATATCAAGATCTCATAATTTAGAACTCAGGCTTGAAATCCCGATCCCCTTGCAGATATGAGGAGTTTTGCTTTGATTTCAGCCAGTCTAAAACTCCAGTCTAAGCTGAAGAGTGGCAACAACAGTCATAATTTGGTTGGTAGCCATGTCTGTCCATCATGCTTATAGAAGTATTTATTTTTACGTTTAAGGTGTGGTTTTGGTTCATGGGTTTAGGGGTGAAATAGAATTCATTAATATTTCAACTTCTGAGTTGTATTATCTTTTTGTAACAGCAGGAGAGTTAGGAAAAAGCCTGTGAAACTATTCCATTCTATTCCTGCATATGTTAGCTTAAGTTAATATTTCAAGCATCAGCTCATGGACCTATTTCCTTTTCCCCTAGGTACATCTATGGTCAGCCTGTTGAAGGGAAAGTCCAGCTCAGCGTGTGCAGGGATTTCGATTCTTATGGGAGGTGCAAGAAAAGCCCAGTTTGTCAGTCATTTACCAAAGATGTATGATACATAATTATTATTCCTCTTTGTGCTTGTCCTCTCTCCTGTGTTCTTGCTTCTCTCCCTTTGCTCATCACACTTCTCTTTCTCTCCTTGATGCTTCCCTTCACTCTACTCATCTATTTGCTTAGATCACTAGCTCGGAACTCAGGGCATCTCATTTCTCTTCTTGGTTTCCTACAGGCCTGGAGAAGGACTGACATGTTCCTTCTTCATGACCCAGTTTCCCATCTGAAAAGTGTAGACAGTGATGTCTCCATCAGTCCTGTATAAATCATGTTAAAAGTAGTGTGAAAAGACTTCACTCACCAAAGAAGGGTCCTGTGTATTGCCAGCATCCTTTGAAAGCTGTGATCCTCGGTAACAGGATTTGTTTTCTTCCCTTTCCAGCTGGAGACAGAGGGCTGTCTCTCCCAGGTTTTCAGCTCCAACATCTTTGAGCTAAATCGTATTGGTTACATGAGGAATCTTGATGTGAAAGCGATTGTCACAGAGAAAGGAACAGGTAATCCCTTCTAGACAGTCAGAAACAGCGAGTGTGGTCAAAAAAAGAGTAGGAGATATTCAGCCTCTGCCTGCTGAGTACAAGGATGTCTTCCTGAAGAAGAAGATCCATTTTTATAACCACAGTGACCACTTCCAGGCAAACGCTAAGTCTGATGAAGCTATATACAAGTCAAAGTATACCTTCTCTTGACTCTGGACATGTCTTACAGGTCTGCAACTTACAGCTACTCAGTCTATTTCCGTAACTCGGGTGATGAGCAGCGTACAGTTTGAGAACATGGATCGCCACTACAAAAGAGGAATTCCTTACTTTGGACAGGTAAGCAAGGGCATAGAGTGCCTGTATTGAAGATGACTGACAGGCAGTCACATGACAAAGTGATGGGAACACTTGGGGGACTGTTTAGGGCTGGGGGTGTTCTCCCCAAGCTTCTTTCTTTACATACAGTGCCCTACTGATAATTCTGAATACTGAAGAGCGTTAGTTTATTCTGAGTTTGATTCTGCCAGAAATACTTTGAATCAAAACTATCCATTAACTAGCATTTTTCTAACTTGCATTTTAAGCTTGATATAAATCACTGCCTCTCCCTTCAGAATTGACCATCATAGGCCAGTCAGAGATGAATAAAAAGACTGGGGGATGAGGGAAGAAAGAGTGAAAGGACTTTAAGAAAAAAATTACGTTTCTGTCTCAAAATGTTGCCATGATTTTATGTTTCATGACAAATCCCACATAACTCTGTCAGTGGTTTAAAGGATAGGGATAAATCTCTCTCTTCCCTTCAGTTCAGCTTTTTTCAGTGAGGAAAGGATAAGGGGACTTCTTACCAGTAGCACTGAAAGGAGAGAAGAGATTGTCTTCCAAGGATTTTTTTCACCTCTGGAAGATGTCTATATAACTTTCTCACTCGGTCCCCACTCCCGCTCCGTTCTTCAGATTGTTGTGCACCTTACCACCCCTTACTGGAGGATGGGGGTCAACAGGCTCCCTGGGGTGATGTGCCACGGTGAATTCCTCAAACACACACATTCACACACACACTAGAGGTTAAACATGCTGAAAGACACGTGGTAGGAGGCTGGGATGTCACATCTCAGAGACAAAGCTGCTAATGATGGCTTCAGGCCGCTTCTTCGCTTTTGTGCAAAAAAAACCCCTTGAGGGTCATATCAGGAGAACTACTGTCTGGAAGCCATGGATACTCATACTTTCTCAAAATGCAGCAGATCCCAGTCCCTGTCCTGGTGCCATCACATGCCATTCACGGTCCTTCCCTGCACTATGAAACATCTGTTTCTGGCCATATGTTGTATGCCTTCACTTTTGTTGCATTCAGTCCCACTGAAGTCAACATCCACTTGAACACTTTTAGTTCTCTATTGTTATTTTTGTTTCAGAAGTCATTTGTCTCCATGCTGCTTCTGGACAGTGAGGATAGTCAGTCTTTTAAGCTTGTATTTAATATATTATTACTTCTGCCATCTTTTTCTGAAAAAAACTCAAAATTAATGCTCAGTTCTAGCAACCTAGAATTTACCTAAGCTGTCTGTTATTTTTTATTTGTCTGTTTAACACATAAACAGCAGAGACAGTGGGGACAGATTCAGAAAAGTCTTCAAAATAAAGATCTAGAGAAAAGGCCTTCAGACACTGGAAGTATCAGCAGCGGACTCTCAAGACTAAGAAAGGAAAAAAATGGAGGAAAGGAAGTATATCTTTAAACTGGAAATGTGTAGTCAGAAGGGACTGGCCAGGAAAGAGATGAGACATAAGAATTTCTTGCTCCACAAAAGGACTTTATCAATGATGTAGCAGATGCTGAGGAAGCTCCTACCTCATAAGGTAGCTGAGATAGCTGCCAGAAAGTGAAGAGAGACATTTCGGTTCTTAAGTATTGCTTTGAAGGGAGAAGAAAAAACAATTCTGCTGTGTGGAGAGCAAAGGAGTGCAAAATATTAGTATCTACATACAAAAAGATAACATGCTGAACAGGCCTTGCATTCTCTTCTACAGGTCAAGCTGGTAGACAAAGACAACTCTCCTATTTCCAATGAGGTTATTCAGCTATTTGTCAATAACAAGAACACAGGCAACTTCACCACTGATGATAATGGCATTGCGGAGTTTAGCATTGATACATCCAAAATGTTTGATCCTGAGATCAGTCTGAAAGTGAGTACAAAACAAGGCTGAATAGAGACAGAGAGAGAGATGGCTGCTCTCAAACTGAACCCCAAAATGATGGGATGAGTTTTGAGTTCTGGTAATAAAAATATACTTTCTATGGCTTATTTCATATTCTAGAGCTCTCAAAAATTGCTATAAAAGAAGTGAGGAAAACACCTGAGTTGTTGCAATGCAATGGCTTGCTGCAAAGCTGCAAGACCATTGTGCTGCTTTTTCCTTACCAGTTTGGCTTTAAATGCAATTCTTAAATACATGCATTCTGTGAACTAATCATTCTGATGTCAGTATGTGATAATGATTTCCCTAGTGACATATGTTTGTTTTCCTTTTCTTTCCCACTCCCTTTCCTGTTCAGGCAACTTATAAAACCAGTGACCAGTGCCACTCTGAAGGTTGGATAGAGCCTTCCTACCCCGATGCATCTCTCTCCATCCAGCGCTTCTACTCCTGGACTAGCAGTTTTGTGAGGATTGAGCCTTTGTGGAAAGATCTGAGCTGTGGGCAGAAGAGGATGATCACCGTGCACTATGTCTTGAACACAGAAGGATACAAGGGCATCAACACCATGAACTTCTACTACGTTGTGAGTGTGGGGTTGTTGCATGGTTTGCTGAAAGGGCTTGACTGGGCAGCTATCTGGCAGTCCATCCACAGCAGTTATGGCAGTGAGTGCTCTTCCAGCTTTTGGATTACCAGCCAGCACAATGGCCAACAACCCAAGGACAGAAACAGCACTGAGGTGGTTTGGCAAAACTACCCGCTCAGGAATAATGATTGCCTTTTCTGGCCATGTTACTCTATTTCATAGTAAGGAACCACCTTCATGATGTCTCAGGCCAGGGTTCTTGTCCCTTCCCTCCAAGAAACTCTTTATGGTATTCTCTGTGTCCCCCTTCCCTTTCTTTTCCTTCTGCTTCCTGACTAGTCACAAGGGCCCCAGCAGTACCAGCAGCAGTGGCAGAATCCAGCATGCCCTAAGGCTGATATTAGGCTGATAAGGCTGAAGTCGTCTCAATGTACATGCCTTGATTGTCCTGTCAATGCACATTGATCTTGATTGCCACTTCCTCCCTTCAACCTCTACCAATCCATAAACGTATTGCTCTTCTCTGCACAGGGCATGGCAAAAGGCAAGATTGTCCTTACAGGGGAAATTAAAGTTAATATCCAAGCTGGTAAGTTAAGTCACCAATCCCTGTTTCTGCATTAAAAAAAAAAAAACGAGGCATGGTTGAACTGAGGACCAAGGCAAGACTTCCTGGATATGTATACAGCAGCTATTGGGGGGGCGGCTGTGTCTCTCTCCATCCGTGCATGTGTGCATGATACCTAGCGCTACCACTAAGATCACTATAAAGTCAGATTTAGTCCAACAACTAGTTCATTTGATATGAGTCAAGAAGTAGTGTCCTGTAAAGATCTTCCCAGAGGATATTGTAGGGAATGCAGAGCATCTGGCTTACAGGGCTATCCGAATCTGGCCACACGTTCAAACCCACAATAAACCTGAAAGCATCTGGATCTAAACCCAGGCATGTCACCTCCTGGCAAATCCAGGATTTTTCAGTTTATCGTCTAAGCACAGATTGCTCCACTGACTGGTACAGCTATATGCCGGTTGAGGATGGCTACTACTACAGCAGATCTTTGTGTTTCTCTCCGTATTGGTCCCTTTCTCTCTTCTAACAGACCAAAATGGCACTTTCACTATCCCACTTGTGGTCAATGAGAAAATGGCTCCAGCTCTTCGGTTGCTGGTATATACCCTACACCCTGCCAAGGAGCTGGTGGCAGACAGTGTCCGATTTCCAGTTGAGAAGTGTTTCAAAAACAAGGTGAGAGGCACTAAGATACAGCAAGTCTTACCTGCTGTCAGACAAATTCTTTGCGCACACATTCACAACAGATTTCCAGTTTTATTTCTTGTTTCCATCTACTTCTCTCAGCATTAGTGTCTTCATTCTCCTTTTTTCTTTTTCCTTGTATGTCTCCTCTACCACCACCTCCTGGCATTATCATCAAAATGTAAATAGTCTTTTAACACTAAAAACTACTTTTCAGGAAGCCCACACTACCCCCAGATGGCTCCTGCCTCTCTTGAACTATATTAGTGACTTATTTAGTTTAGACTGTCTATTCTTTAGCATGACGAACACACTTTAGTCTTATCCCACTTCACTATTTAATCTGATTTTTTACACTTTTTTGTTGAAAAACGCAATTTGGATTTACCAGAACTAAATACATATAGAAAAGAAAGCAAAAATAACAATCTGGGGTTTAAGTTTTCCTTCCATGTGATTTCCATTGAAACATTTTGATTTGTGATTTTGAATTCAGATATCACCTTTAAGATTTTTCTAATCTTCAGTTCTGCTGATTTTTCTAATTTTCAGCTAAAAAACATGAAACATTAGGAGAAGACAAAACAAATGAGGCTAAGTAAAACATTTCCATTTACTTGATGTGGTCTTCCCCTCCTACTTTTTCCCTCTTATCGAACACAAGTGTGAAACAGATTTTGCTCTGAATAGATTCAAAACAGAATCTGTTCTATTATTTCCTAAGGTGAGCCATGGACCTAGTAAAAATATGATTTGCTCACTGTAGTGCTTATTACATGCACTCTGTGTCATAATAAGATTTGATTTGATAATAGCAGCAACAGAATCACATTTCATTTTAAACCACTTGAGGTAGGCTTCATTTAAACTATCACAGGAGTCTTAATGTGCTTATTGCCTAAGTCCCCATTACAGTGGAGGCCTGGTCAACAGAGACAGTGGAGACCAGACATCCTTCCCCAGGCAAACTTCGTGTGATTTAACAGAAGAGCCTTCTATTCTCCTCCTTGCCCTCCATTCCCACACACATCCAGAGCAGCCCTGAGCAGCAGGGATTAGCCATAGCAACAGCTGTTTGATAAATTTCAGGTCCAGCTGCAATTCTCTGAAAAGCAGATGCGCTCGGCTTCCAATGCCAGTTTAGTCATTGAAGCTGCTGCCAACTCCTTCTGTGCTGTGAGGGCAGTGGACCAGAGCGTGCTGCTCCTGAAGTCTGAGGCAGAGCTGTCCGCAGAAACGGTAAGCTGCCCAAACAAATGCATTGTCTCCTTCTGCTGCTTCCTCCTCCTCCGTTACAGTGTCTCTCCACTTGAGACTGTTAGGCTGTGTTAGACTTCTACTGTTTTTTGCATGTGCTGGTCATAAGCCATCTATACTAGGCAACACACAGCTTTTGTTTCCTGGCAGTTGGAAGTCCTCTTTCATGTGGGATTAACCAGCGAATGGTCTCTGGCAGCACGACCCTCTGGTCTACCAGCCACTCCTCCCAGTTTTGCGTCATCAGCAGACTTGCTGAGGGTACAGTCTGCCCCATCAATCCAGATCATCAATGAAGATGTTGAACAGGACTGGACCCAGTATTGACCTCTGGGGTACCCCACTAATTACTGGCCTCCAATAGACTTTGTGCCACTGATGCCCTCTGGGTCCAGCCGTTCAGCCAGTTTTCAATGCAGGAAACAGAGCATTCTTTCAAACAGACCAACATCTCAGCTCTGGCAATTTGCAGCACATGACAGTGTAATCAGAATTGATCTTTACACACACAGAGGTTTTGTATTTCCTTCCCCCTCACAGATATACAGCCTGCATCCCCTGCAAGACTTTCAAGGCTACATCTTCAATGGGTTTAATCTAGAAGATGACCCCCAAGACCCCTGTGTCTCATCTGACAACATCTTTCACAAAGGCTTGTATTACACACCTGTAATGTCTGGATTAGGCCCAGATGTATATCAGTTCCTCAGGGTAAATGTCCTGTACATTACTTAAATCTGTTGAAGTGAGTTTTCACTTATGTAGCTTTAGATATTTCTGCAAATGTTAGTAAAACTCCCACACAACAAACTCTTCTCATGGACATCTATTCTCAATTGACTCTGGTGCCTACTGTGATTTTCCAGCATGCACAAAGCTCCCACAAGTCTCTGCATAGATGTCTCTGGGCATCTCCACGGTAGAAAGGTGGTAATGGGAAAGAGGGAGGAATGGAATAAACCTCAACTACAGTATGGTTATGGCTAACATGAAAATGTGTTTTTTACAGGATATGGGCATTAAATTTTTTACCAACTCAAAGGTTCGGCAACCAGTTGTGTGTACTAGTGAGACTGTAAGACCTCCAGCATATTTCCTGAATGCAGGATTCATGGCTTCTACACATCATGTCAAATCATCAGGTAATATAGGGGACAGGAAAAATATTTTCTTTTTCTCCTTAAATGAAGTGATATTCCTGTGACATGGTATCTTGGTTTCAGCTGGGAGAGAGTTAATTTTC